CTATGACATTTATAAATGTATGTATCATATGGTGAAAAACTGACTTAGAAAAATAAACCAGTTCTTTTTCTTATAAAAGTCTAAATAAAACAATAATATTGGTGGTAATTTTTGACTGTAACTTTACAAACGGCAGCTCATAGGCCTCTCTCACTGGTTTCTGTGCATCTCAGTCCATTCATTCTGTTTTGTTTTGTTTGTTTGTTTGTTTGTTTGTTTGTTTCTGTCTGTGTTTCTGAGGGTCTTCTGTGGAGCTCTGCAGGGGGTCCAGCACGTTAAACTGGGCGGTGGCAGGTGAGGTTTTGCTGGGCCCAGGCCCCCCCACATCTCCCCTCCCCTCCAACCTCCGTCTCCCCCTCGCTCACTCCTCATCTCTCAGTAGGCGCTGGTTCATTTCTGGGCGAACATGAACTCTCGGGCTCTTTTTCTGCCTCTGATCCTCCTGGTTTCCAGACGGACAGCTGCTGACTCAGCAGGTAAGGTGTCAGTGAGCAGGACAAGCAGCCCTCATGGGAGGTTTCCTTGGTCCTTATTTGGATTTTGCTGAGATGCCGAGGCAAACTGAGCATCGGTCACTTTATATTACAGAGAACCAGGCTGTGAAATGTTTAATTAGACCTTTCTGAACCTGCTGAACAAAGAACTGACAAAAGCAGCAGATTTAGATGTTTTCTTTCTTGTTTTCCTCTTTAGAAGAAATCACCTGGACCTACTCTGGTAAGTCCAACTTTACTAATCTCCTTTTTTAAAGCAAAAATCTCATGCAGATAATTCCTGAAGGTATTCACATGGTAATAAACATCACAAAGAAACAAAGAAAGAGGCTATAGTTATTAATTTAAAAACAACTCATTTAGGTTTCAACTGTTTTAACGACGATTTGTCTCCAAAAACAATCAAACTGACAGCGCTCTTTAAACACAAATTCCTTAAAGTTTCCATAACTTTAGAAGGATTTGTCTGTTCTCCATCGTTCCACCCATCGTGTCCCCCTCTGTTTCCCCTCTCTGTGTGAATTAGTTACAGTCCAACAGGTTGGCACGAGCTCCACACAGACGGGAGGTGAAAGCAGACAGAGATTAATAATAACAAAAATAAAAAAATGAAGCCATAAAGAGACGGGATGAGAGGCCGGAGAAGGGAGACAGGTGCACGAGGATGAGTGTGACGAGCTGAGTAGGGGAGATGGGACGAGGCAAACGGTGCTCCAGCTGTATTGTTGGAGCAACACAATAATGTGTGTGTTTATTATGCTGCTGACACACACTGGCTGTCTGTGTGAGGCGCACAATGACTGAGGGGCTGAAGGAGGCTCAGAGAGGAGCAGCCGCTCCGTCGCTCTGCATGGAGGAGCCAAACTGAGGCGCAGAGGTTTTAGAGTCCACACACAACCATCTAACCCACGTGTCAAATACAAGGCCCGTGGGCCAAATGTGGCCTGCGCATGACTCCTGTGTGGCCCACCAGGGGCCCCCCAAAAATATATCTAACTAACTAACTAACTAACTAACTAACTAACTAACTAACTAACTAACTAACTAACTAACTAACTAACTAACTAACTAACTAACTAACTACCTATCTAAATAAATAAATAAATAAATAAATAAATGAGTGAGTATTTTCTCAAGAAGAAGCAGAAAAGTCTTCATTGGGACTTCTCATTACCAGACTGAAACACGTTATTAAAAGAACCTAAAGACTAAATCTAAGAGACTAAAGTATTGAACCGAACCGAATCATGAATTTTATGTATGGTTACAGCCCTCACAGATATTACTGGAGTCACATTATAACCAGTGGTGGGCAGCACTAATCTAAAGATGAGTTGCACTAACCCTAAAGCACAACTGAATATTTAGGATCCCTAACTCTAAAGCACTAATGCACTGAAAAATTTAGCAAAAGCTAATTCTAAAGCACTAAAATAACCCAGTTGACACATGAAACATTCTTAGTTTAGTTCAGTTCAGTTTAGTTTATTTGCACAATAAAAATAGCAGTAGTGGGCACCAGTACGCTAAAGCACAAATCCGCTAGTTGTGGACCTAAATATTTCATTTGAGCTTTATCAGTCTTACTAATTTTTATAATTCATAAGCAGATTTGCACTTTCTAAGATTAAAATGCAGAACCACTAATAACTAATTATCTACCGGTCATCATCATGTTGAACAGCAGAAGGTATGACTGTCAATGAATCACAACACACGTGATCTATCCAACAGCACCCCTCCCAGATAAACACTCTTATTGTGAAGGTATACATCCTGCTGACTGTTGCTTTCAGTCACGGTTCTGATTTCCCACAATGCTTTGTGTCTGCTTACGTAGCAGGAAGGTAATGGTTAGTTATTATTAACACTTGTTATTATGTTGTATGTTTAATTCAAAGATTATACCTCCATGTTTTAATCTAAAAGCTTCATTTTTCAAATTTATGACATTTATGATCAGTGGTTTCCACCTTGTCTGCTCAGAGGCTGTAAAATCATCATTTTATTGTTTATATATAAAAATCACACAAAAAAAAGTCAATTTGAAAAATGAAAACTTTGTATAACAGAGAAGAAAGTTCAAAGTTCCTCTGGCCCTAAAACGAATATACAAAGGTCATTTATTCCACTTGTAATATCCACTTTAAATACTTTTAAATAACAACAGTATTATAATTGATTTTAACAGTCCTTTTTATGTGTTTAATGTGTTTTTATGTGTATTTGAGTGTGTTTCTGCAAGTATGCTGTGACAGACTCAGCAGGTTCCTGACTTTAGGCCACAACTGTTACAGAGATAAGCCTTGACATGTCTTTCTAAATGGGAAAACCTTTGAAAAGCAGGTTTAAATCCTATTTTTAGTCAAATCTAGTGAGGATTTCTTGATGTTATTTGAAAGACAAAACCCCAAACCATATCTGGATACTGGAATTTTCCAGCTTTTATTGAAAATAGCTTTGCTAGCTCACAGGGAAAGTAGCAAAAATTGACGTCTTCTTCTCAAAATCCTTGTCAGTCACAGCTGCAACCACTCTCCCCATCAGCCCCAGTCCATATAATCCTTCTGTTTGTTTGTTTATTTATTTATTTTGCTTTGTTAAGTTGAAACTGACACACACATGCCTCACTGTGTTCTTCGACAGGATGTGTGTGTGTTTGTTTTGTTGCTCCATTCAGGACAGGGTCTGCAGAGCGGGTGCACAGGGTCAGTTTGTTCAACCTCTGGTCACCATTGCGACAAAATAAAACAAAATGAAATAAAATGAATTAAAAAAAATAAAATAAAGTAAAATAAAATAAAGTGCAATAAAGTAAAGTAAAGTATAAGCCTCTACCAGGGTCACACACTGAGTCTTAAAACAACTGATAAAACTTTACGCTCTCAAAATGCTTCTGTTGAATTAAATTACTTTTATGTCGCAGTATAAAAATCACCCCAATCGCTCATAGTTTAAAGTGCAGGATACTCATGTAGTGTTCCCTCACAAAAATGTATCTATGTGCTTAATACGTTACGTGTGGCCAAACAAACATTTAAGATGTTGTTTTTAGCTTTGGTTAGCAATTTTAGCTTTGCTTTAGCATTAGCAGTAGCTTTTAGACAATCAATAACAATTTTATTAATGCATTTAGTTACCCAAGACCTATAATTTCAGACAGTCAATACATTTAAATGAGCTCAATGGCAGAAAATTATATATATACAGGTGCTGGTCATAAAATTAGAATATCATGAAAAAGTAGATTTATTTCAGTAATTCCATTTAAAAAGTGAAACTTGTATATTATATTCATACATTACATACAAACTCATATATTTCAAATGTTTATTTCGTTTAATTTTGATGATTACAAATGACAACAAATGAAAATCTCAAATTCAGCATATCAGAAAATTAGAATATTACTGAAGACCAATAAAAACAAAGGATTTATAGAAATGTTGGCCAACTGAAAAGTATGAACATGAAAAGTATGAGCATGTACAGCACTCAGTATTTAGTTGGGGCTCCTTTGGCCTGTATTACTGCAGCAATGCGGCGTGGCATGGAGTCGATCAGTCTGTGGCACTGCTCAGGTGTTATGATAGCCCAGGTTGCTCTAATAGTGGCTTTTAGCTCTTCTGAATTGTTGGGTCTGGTGTATTGCATCTTCTTCTTCACAATACCCCATAGATTTTCTATGGGATTAAGGTCAGGAGAGTTTGCTGGCCAATTAAGAACAGGGATACCATGGTCCTTCAACCAGGTACTGGTAGCTTTGGCACTGTGTGCAGGTGCCAAGTCCTGTTGGAAAATGAAATCTGCATCTCCAAAAAGTTGGTCAGCAGCAGGAAGCATGAAGTGCTCTAAAACTTCCTGGTATGTGGCTGCGTTGACCCTGGACCTCAGAAAACACAATGGACCAACACCAGCAGATGACATGGCACCCCAAACCATCACTGACTGTGGAAACTTTACACTGGACTTCAAGCAATGTGGATGAAGTGCCTCTCTTCTTTTCCTCCAGACTCTGGGACCTTGATTTCCAAAGGAAATGCAAAATTTACTTTCATCAGAGAACATGACTTTGGACCACTCACCAGCAGTCCAGTCCTGTTTCTCTGTAGCCCAGGCAAGACGCTTCTGACGCTGTCTGTGGTTCAAGAGTGGCTTGACACAAGGAATGCGACAGCAGAAACCCATGTCTTTCATACGTCTGTGTGTGGTGGTTCTTGAAGCACTCACTCCAGCTGCAGTCCACTCTTTGTGAATCTCCCCCACATTTTTGAATGGGTTTTGTTTCACAATCCTCTCCAGGGTGCGGTTATCTCTCTTGCTTGTACATTTTTTTCGACCACATCTTTTCCTTCCCTTCGCCTCTCTATTAATGTGCTTGGACACAGAGCTCTGTGAACAGCCAGCCTCTTTAGCGATGACCTTTTGTGTCTTGCCCTCCTTGTGCAAGGTGTCGATGGTCGTCTTTTGGACAACTGTCAAGTCAGCAGTCTTCCCCATGATTGTGTAGCCTATAGAACTAGACTGAAAGACCATTTAAAGGCCTTTGCAGGTGGTTTGAGTTAATTAGCTGATTAGAGTGTGGTACCAGGTGCCATCCATTTTGAACCTTTTCACAAGATTCTAATTTTCTGATATGCTGAATTTGAGATTTTCATTTGTTGTCATTTGTAATCATCAAAATTAAACGAAATAAACATTTGAAATATATGAGTTTGTATTTAATGTATGAATATAATATACAAGTTTCACTTTTTAAATGGAATTACTGAAATAAATCTACTTTTTCATGATATTCTAATTTTATGACCTGTATATAACAACTTGTTCATCATATGGTACTTTCTGTTCCCCCTCACTGCCACGATGAGGCTGCAGAGAGAACATAAAGAAACATTTGTTCCTGCATAGCTGGAGGATCTGGATCAATGGAGTCTTTTCACAGAACAACGGGAGGCAGCAGGCCGTGTGATCGGGTGATGTCACTCCTTTTATTTCTCTGTTGAAAGGCCTGGTCGGTCAGTCTGACTGGTCCCAGTACTTCCCTGAGTGTGGCGGCAGCTCTCAGTCACCTGTCGACGTGACGACCACCCAGACTAAATATGACCCCAGCTTGGTTCCGGTGACCCCTCTGGGCTACAGTCAGCATGGAAACCAGCCCTTCACTCTGCACAATAACGGGCACACAGGTAACCAAGGCTCCATCAATAACCCCCATCTGTTTGCAGTCCACCTTAAAAACTGGTTCGTCTTTTTTCTTCTCGTCAGTCGTCATTGAGCTGCCGGACTGGATGGGACTCCAGGGTCTGCGGTGGCTCTTCACAGCCGTCCAGCTGCACCTTCATTGGGGCAACGGTGGCCCGGGTCACGGGGGCAGTGAACACACCATCAACGGACGGAGCGCAGACGCAGAGGTGCGTTTAAACACATCTGTAAAACCAGTGCTGGCTCTAGCCATTTTGGTGCCCTAGGCGAGTTGAAGCACGACCCCCCCCCCCCGCCCGAACTATTGCCCACCCCAATTTGAATCCATAAAAACAAGTTTGACAGAGTAAGGTACTATGGTAAATTTAGATTTATTTGCCCCCCTCCACCCCGCGGGTGCGTGTTGTATGGATTTTTTCCAAAATTTACAGATTTTTGAGTCTTTTTATCAGGTAAACGTCTGAAGAGGTTGACATGTATGGAACAACAAAATACAGACTTGTTGTTATTGAGTTTGTCGACACGAACCGCTACCTGAGAGGCACTACAAGCCCCTCTCCCGTCAGAGCGTCGGAGCAGGATGAGTCAGTGCAACGTCAATCAAATGAGAGAGAGGGTGGGGGTGATTGCTGCATTGGGGGGAGAAAATGTTTTATGGGTAGAGCAGTTTATTTTTCCTGTAATACTTCATTATAGTTTTTTAAGACAAAGCTAATTGAAAGGGGCGCTGAGCAGAGTTACAACCAGGGATTACAAATAATTGCATTTTTTCTTCTGCAGTTTGGTGCTCCCTCCAGCAGATGGCGCTCTAGGCAACCACCTAGTTCGCCTATGCCTAGAGCCGGCTCTGAGCGTTTGACTAAATTCTTACGATTAATAAAGCATTGTTTGTTGATTTCATGGTCTGTAAAAGTTAAGAACATCCTTCAGTAAATTAAGATCTGCTACAAAACATTGGGGTCCAGCAGAAGGAGCTGCATTCCTAAACTCTTCACGAGTTAATGAAATAACATTCAGAAAGGACCGTATCCTGTCCTCTCAGTTTATACCTGGAGACACGGTGGCACAGCTGGGAGAGCTGTTACTGGATCGGAACTCGACCGGGGACCTTTCGGGGTGCAGTTTGCATGTTCTCTCTGTGCATGCGTGGGTTTTCTCTAAGAATAACATTCATGTTGAAGTGCCTGTGACATGCCATCGAATGCAAAAAGTTAAAGAAAACATTTTTTACAAGAAACCTTGCATAAAACATTTAATTTTACCCATTTTGTCACATAAATTGTAAATTTTCTTTTGAACTTGTCTCAGCCAAAGTGCAACAGGAAGTGACATCAAAGGGGAACTCTTTAAGAAAGAGAACTCTGTAAATGTTGTTTATTGAAACAATATTATTTGAACTCTGACTTTTCTTCATCTCTCTGATAATGACGTTAGCTATTTTACCAATGCTTTGTTTACATGCAGACATTCCCCTCTGACATCACTTCCTGTTGCTTCACATGCAAATATCTCAACAACTGTTCATCTCAGCAGTGAGAAATATTTTTTGCAATATGCTAATAATGTTATCTTTACAATAATTTATTTAAAAGTTTTCATGTCACAGGCACTTTAAGCTAATAATCTTTCTCACCACTGCTGTTCTCTGTTCTGTCCAGCTACACGTGGTGCACTACAACTCAGAGCTCTACCCCAACATGTCTGCAGCCATGACGCAGAGGGACGGCCTGGCTGTTTTAGGAATCCTCATTGAGGTAATAAAACCACAAACACAACTGCATCCTACGCTTTGAGCCTTGTACGTCTGAGTTTCCTTTTCCCAGACAGGTGAAGAGACAAACCCGGCGTTCAACAACATCATCAACTACATGAGCCGTGTCAGACATGCAGGTGGGCCTCTTGCTCTTTTTTATAAAAATAAGACAACTTCACGGACATCCAGTCTTTTTGTTTTTTCCTATGCTACCTGATTGATTTTGTTTTTCAGATCAGAAAACATTCATCCCAGCTTTCGATGTGCAGTCCCTTCTTCCCAAGAGTCTGGGACGTTACTATCGATACAACGGCTCCCTGACGACACCCCCCTGCTACCAGAGCGTTGTTTGGACGGTGTTCCATGAAAGAGTTCAGATCTCAAAGGAACAGGTGTTGTTGAAACACTAAAAAAAAAAAAACATGCATATCCTTCAAATAAAAAAGTCAAACAAAACATTTTTTATTTAAGAAACTTGGCACAATACACATTATTTTACCCATTTGTCATATTTTCTTTTGAACTTGGCTCAGTCAAAGTGAAACAGGAAGTGACATCAAAGGGGAACTCTTTAAGAAAGAAAACTCTCTGATCTTTGTTTACCAAAACAATATAATATACATCCTGAGTCTACTTAATCTCTGATAGAGACTCAAAATAATACAAACTAAAAACTAACTAAAACTAGCAACTCTCTGTTTACATGATGTCATTCCCTTTTGACATCACTTCCTGTTACGTCACATGTGAATGTCTCAACTGTTCATCAATGTTATCTTTTCAAAAATGCATTCATATTTATAGTGAAAAGTTGATGCCACAGGCACTTTAAACACATGATTTAATGGTTAACCTGACATTATTTGTCTGAAATGTAAATAAAATCTGAATGCAATGATTCGGAAATCCCATAAAGCAACATTTTTCAATTGCTGAGTGATGTGGATTGCAGACAGGTCAGTCCAGCATCTGGTCTCTTTTACTGTGAAGCCATTTTGTAACGGTAGCAGTATGTTGCTTAACAATGTCTTTCTGAATTACGCAAGGCCTTACCTGAAAAATACGTCACCTGGATCAAACTAATGATCTACCCACTGAAAACATGAATGAAAATGAAATGTGAAACATAAAAAATATATTTAAAACATTTTGTATTCATGTAGAAGTGGTTTTGATTTACATTTTTTAATAAATTTGTTTTTGAACATTTATTCTCTGAAGCTTAAAAGTTTGATAATCACAACAACATATATATCTACATTTTTAAAGGGCCTGTCACAGCTGATTTTTGTAATAAACGTTTATGCCTTTTTGGAAAGATAACATTGATAACATGTTGCAGAACAAATTTCACGCCGCTGAGATGAACGGTTGTTGAGATATTTACATGTGAAGAAACAGGAAGTGATGTCAGAGGGGAATGTCTGCATGTAAACAGAGTGTTGTTACAAAAGCTAATACAGAAGAATCTGATGTTTCTTTAGATTATTTTTAGTCGCTATCAAAAAGAGATGAAGAAGAATTAAAGTTTAAATAATTTTGTTTTAATAAACAAAGACCAGAGTTTATTTTATTAATGAGTTACCCTTTGATGTCACTTCCTGTTTCACTTTGGCTGAGCCAAATTCAAAAGAAAATAGACCAGTTATGTGTCAAATTGGGTAAAATAATGTGTACTATGCCAATTTTCTTAAGTATAAAGATGTTTTCTTAGACTTTTTGTATTTGAAAGATAGGCGTGTCACAGGCGCTTTATAGTTCTGTAAATGACATAACATGCATAATAGTTAATAATTATGTTCATATATTCATTCTTATGCATGACTCTGGTTAATATGTCCTTAGTTGAAAGTGGGAAATAGGACCATACTTGTGCCAACTGTCTAGTTAATGCATACATCTGATAAAAACGTCATGATTCTCCTCCTTTTCTCTGCTTCAGCTGCTGAAGATGGAGACGATACTTTACTCCAGTAAAGCTGGAGACTCACACAGGATGCTGCTGCAGGACAACTACCGGGCGACACAGCCGCTCAACCACAGAGTCGTGTTTGCCTCCTTCTCTGCAGGTCAGACCTAAAACCCTTTTATTATCTGTTAATTCTTCAAAGTCTGTTTAAAAAAAAAGATTTAAGTTGTGTGAAGTCACATTCAGTTGCTGATTACCATTTTTACCACATCCTGCAAATACAAAAGCAAGCAGACATAAATATGGAAAGATTATCAACAATATATTATATATTCTGTTAACTTCAGAAGAGCAAAAACACGAAAATGAAGAATTAGAAATCCAGAGGAAAGGAGGTCAAAATGACAGCTGTTTGTTTGTTTGTGTGGAGAAAAACAGCGACTTCTTTGTTTTTTTGAGACTAATCAGCTCAACGAGGAAGCAAAGGAGACAAATGTGTGCTCATTGTAGTGAGTGGCTGAAGTGGAAGACCTGCAGTATCAGCAGACTGAGTTCAGAAGGGTCTGAAGTTCAGCTGGGATGAGTTTATTCTTTGTAACCATGGAAGTAAAAATCAGAACATGTTCTCTTGTTGTTGTTTTTTTAGAATCGGGGCAGGAGCTTTCCTCCGGTAAGATTTCTGCCTTAGACGAATAAACTGTTCTGATTTATTTCAGATGATGTTGAAGTGTTTTTGTTTCTCCTTCCTGTCCCTGCAGGTGAAGTCACAGCCATAGTGATTGGAGTGATGTGTGGCTGTGTGGGCCTGGCAGTGATCGTTCGCTTCATCGTGAAGACGATACGGTGAGAAACGGTGATTTCTGCAGATGCTGGTTCCCGGGACACTGTATTGTTAGAGTTTCACTGCTGGAGCTGAAACTGTGGAGGAACCTCAGGCTGTACTTACTCTGTCTCCTCTCTCCTGGCAGATTTTTCAAACTCCTTCACCGCGAAACAGTCGTGGTAAACAGGTGGCTTACCTGATCCTGTTACTGACACGGACTATCAGCTGTTTAATAACCATGAGATTAACGCTCCTGTTATTGTCGTCACTGTATATTATCACCTAATAAGTTTAATTCATGAAAATAATTATAAGAGAAAGGGATTAAAATTGTAAATACGTCTCTATTCATTCATCCCTCGATTATCTTCTGCTTGTTCCGGAGTTTGAGCAGGGAGGGTCTTCTTCTCACAGCCAGATCTTCCAACTCTTCTGAGGGGAACTCCAAAGTGTTCCCTGACCAGCCAAGACAGGGGATTCTGATGTTATCAGTCCATGAAATGGACGTTATTAGGCGTTATCAGTCCCATGCAATGGCTTCAGAATGTCCCTACTGTGCCTTCTAGCATCCAGACTGTCCCGACAGTGCCCCCTAGTGGGTTAATATATCAATGACGATGAATGTGTAAATAACCATTTAAGCAAAACATATTTTAATAAAATTTTTGTCCTTGCCTGGTGGCATTCCTTGCTCTTGCTGTCCGTGTCGGTCTGGAACCCTGGTCTCCCACTCTGTGGGACGACGCTCTACCTGTAGAAAACTGTGTGCGTCTTGCTTGCGCTAATTTCTGATTTCTCATCAATTGAATCTTCCTCGGTCAGAAGGAATAGGCCAACTCCACTGGTGCAGCTTATCAGTTTTATTGATGGAATAATAAGAGGTACATGGGAGATGATGTTACAGATGATGACGTAGAGATAGGAACGATGTGGTTGTATTAGGTTTTGTATGTATATGTATGTGGGTGTGTGTATATAAGTGTGTGTGTGTGTGGTTATCTGAAACAGAAGAAACAATAAAGGTGAATATTAATAGCCATGCTGGCAAGCTGTTACACATACATGCAGGATGAAAATGGCCTGTAATAACACAGAAATCCACTAGAGGGCATCATAACACCACACATGGATTATCGGTAAATGTAATAAACATACAAATGACAAAAAACCCGTCAGAACATGTGAATTAACGGCAAATCTCCTCATATGCTACTATAATGGTAATATATATATCTAGCAAAGGATAGCATAGAACTTGAGTTATTACAAGTAATGGCTTGCATTATTGGTAACCAGAGAAACCACAAGGCTAATTTCACCTCGTGGGCTGATAACTGACATAAACTCAAATATCAGGCAGAAATATTTATACTTACATAATAAAAACGCACACAGGTCTTATACACACGTGATTAAAGAAGGATTGATAGTGGATGCTATCCGTGGATGGATGTTTTTAATGCCACCGAACCACACAGAAGCACAGAAATAACTTGCTCATCTCCGTGAAAGTCGAACTACAAAAAACGAAGATGCATCATGGGTATTGTAGTGTTAAAACGCACAGGTGGACTTTTAACAGCCGCCCCTGTATTTGCAAACAAATACACTCATACAAAGTCCACTAGGTAGAAGAAGAACCCAAATCTTCAGGCACTTCAGGAAGCTCCACCAGTTTAGTTACCGGTCGAATGTAGATGCTGTCCTTGACCTTCACCTCAGCAGCTCGAACGACGCCATCCGTCCCAGGGAAAACCTTGGTGATGATCCCGACGGGCCACAGTCCTCGGGGAAGGTTGGAATCAACAATCATCACTATTTGTCCCACAGCAGAATTATCAGTAGATTTCCTCCATTTCTGTCGTAACTGAAGTCCTGGAAGGTAGTCCTGGATGAAGCGTTTCCAAAAATGATCACTGACGACCTGACTGTGTTGCCATCTCCTCTTGGACAGMGCATCATGAGGACCATACACTGCTTGTGGTAGTCCTGCATCCCGCCGCCCCATTAACAGAAGGTTTGGCGTGATGGGGTCTAGGTCAGCCACGTCAGAGGAGGCATAACCGAGAGGTTTAGAGTTAAGGATGCCTTCAACCTCTATGAGAGCTGTTAGAAGTACTTCCTCTGCCACAACTTGGTCTTTCAGGACAACTTGTAAAGCTGATTTGACTGACCTGATTTCCCTCTCCCAGGCTCCCCCAAAGTGAGGAGCATACGGTGGGTTGAAGTTAAAGTTGAAAGTCTGTTTGGCCAACTGTTGCTGCAACACTGGGGCCATGCTTTCAAAGGCGCTCTATAGTTCTTTATGGCCTCCCCTGAAATTGGAGCCTCTGTCGGACCACAACTCGTATGGCTTCCCCCGGCGAGCAATGAACCTGCGTAATGACATCAGGAAAGAATCGGTGTCGAGGCTAGGGAGGAGATCCAAGTGGACACATCGAGTGGTAAGACATTTGTAAATGATCCCCCAGCGTTTCTCTCGTCGACGTCCAATCTTAACTAGGTACGGTCCAAAACAGTCTACACCTGTAGACCAGAATGGGGGTTTGTAGAGTCTCAAACGAGCTGAGGGAAGGTCAGCCATCTTTGGTGTGGAAGGTGAGGCGCGCCATCTCCTACAGTCTACGCACTGGTACTGGTGTTTCTTAACGGCCTGCCGACCTCTGAGAATCCAATAGGTGCGTCGTATTTCTGCAAAGAGTCTCTCTGCACCCGGGTGAAGCAGTTGAGCATCGTAGTGTTTTATGATGAGACGAGTCAAAGGATAATCAGGAGCTAACACAACTGGATGGATGC